TGATAAGAGATCCGAACTATTATATGAATTTATTTGGTGGATATTTGATTGCTTTGTTATTCCACTGCTTCAAGTAAATAATTCGAATTTTTGTGCTTCTCAGATTCAAATTTCTTGTCACTAAATTTATTTTATGGTATTCATATTTCTCAGGCTAATTTCTATATAACCACCAATGCAAAATACAAGAACCGCATGTTTTACTACCGTAAAGATATCTGGTTACGGATTGAAAAACATAATTTAGAATCTTTGCTAGCAAACACTTTTGAAGAAGTTCCAGAAGTATTCAAATTCATTATTGTAAATACACATATTAATATTTTAACATTTAGTAATTAATTTTTATGTTTTATTTGTAGGAAACTGAGAAACAGTTCTTAGAAAATAATATTTTGGGGTATTCTACTGTTCGATTGCTTCCAAAAGGATCGGAAGGAGCAATGCGACGCGTTATCAATTTGAGTAAAGTGCCAAATAAGGTTAATATTCAAATAATTATTATTTGTTGAGGTATTCTTACATACCTACCATAGAGCGCTGCATATAGTACCCGGGAAACAAGTCAACAAATCCTTACTAACTTGATTTGTGCCCGGAGGATAACATACGAGACAAGATAAAATCTAAATGGGAGTAATTCACATGATTTTTAGAAAGAAGCCATTTATGAGACAAAAGTAAATACACAAATCTTATTGATAGTAAATGGCATTTATGATACTGTATGCACGCTGTATGGTATTTAGCATGAATTTTGATATAATTTATGTTATACATATTATTTATACCTGGAAATAAATATCTTGTTGGCATAGATGCACGTTAAAGAAAAGCCAAAGCAATCCGTGAACGCAATTCTACAAAATACATTTCAAGCCCTAACATTTGAAAAAACGGTATTGATAATTTCAACATATTTTTTTTCTACATTTTATTTGCCAAACGGCTTTACTCTTTGTTGAAATAAATACTCAATTCAGGGTATGCAATTATCTGGTGAATCTGGTGGAAAGTCTTCTAAACTAGGTGGTTCAGTATTCAGTTTTGATGAGATTTATGAACGTCTGAAAGAATTTAAACAAAATCTTACTAAAAATAAACATGCGCGGTATGTCAAATACATATGTATATAGTTCTTGTTTTTGGTTATTACTTATTTTTTTATTTTGCAGATCAAGGTTATACTTCGCAAAAGTTGATGTTCAATCTTGTTTTGAATCCATTGATCAAGAACGAGTTTTGGAAATAGTTAGAGATGTATTAAAAGAGGTAAGTCTATTTTTTTTTTTAATATATGCATTATTTGAGAAAAAGTAAATAACATTTCTCTTTTTTAGAGTGAATATGCAATTCATAAATATGATATAGTTTGCCAGAAGGGTAGTACAATCCGTTCGTTTTATAAATATTATGCCGACTCAACAGGTAATACTAGATTATCCAGTTTTGCAATAATTTTTTAATCATTGCACTTACTTTTCTGTTGTCCGTATTAATGATATAAATTATATAGACGATTTTCCTAAGTTTCCAACTTTTGCAAGAGAATCGGCACAAAAGATACCAAATTCAGTTTTTATTGACCGCGTTAAAGAATCGTATTTAGATAGGGAGGATATACTTGATCTCTTAGAAAAGCATATCAAGTATAATTTAATAAAAGTATGATTCCGAAGCTGCTATATTATAGGAGTGCTGTCAAGGGAAAATGCACATCCGACTTTGAATTATATTTTGTGCTAGACATGGTTTATCTAATTTATTAAAGGTTGTTCCCAATACAAAATATAATTGAAAATCCGTAATGCCTTATTTCCTGGCAGCACTCATTTCCTGTAATTTGTAATATAAAATGCAATATGTTATGTTTTTAATAGATTGGAGACAAGTATTATAGGCAGTGTACTGGTATTTCACAGGGGTCAGTTGTATCGACACTTCTTTGTAGGTTCGTATTGACACAATTGATAATTGGTTTCTTTTCTTAATATTTATATATTGATGACTTATAATCGTTTAATACATAGCTTTTATTATAGTGAGATGGAATGGGAAGAGCTTCCTTTTGTGAAGCATGATGATGGCGTAAGTGAATATTATCGATTTCGAAGGGTTAGTGTTCTTGGCTAAAAATTGAATTTATAGCTCATGTTACGGTTTCTTGACGATTTTCTGTACATAAGTACAGACAAAGAAAAGGTTAAAAGATTTATAACCGCAATGCATAAAGGTAATAATTCTGATATGTATATGTATTTTGAATAAGATGAGATTTTATTGAATGCATATTTTTTTTAGGTTATCCAAAATACAAGTGTGTCGTTAACAGAAAAAAGAGCTTAACAAACTTCAATATTATTGTTGATGGGGAGCCGATAAAGAAATTGAGTAATACGCTTGGTAAATCAAATATTTGTTTGCTCAAGTAATTTTAACAGTATTCTAACTTAATTGAAAATGATCTTTAGACTTTCCATGGTGTGGAATCTTAATTCATACGACTACATTGAATTGTAAAGTTGATTATATGCGATATAGCTTTTCACGTAGGTCTTCCTAATTCGTTATTCAGTATAATTTATGCCGCTATTGATGTATTTTTATAAACTATGTAGATATTGCGGATACTTTAACAGTCAAAACATCAAGGCATCCTGGTGAAGCTTTAAAACAAAAGATGATTGAGTAAATACTATCATTTTATTAATTATTTTTAAGCATATATCTAAATTATATTCTCAATTAAGCATCGTTACCAAGAACTGTCATCCAATATATAATGACTTGTCGTTCAACACTAGAGCGACTGTATTACTTAACATTTACCAAAATTTCCTGCTGACGGCTATGAAGTTTCATCACCATATCAAAGGCCTACCGCTGAAAGATAACTCGAGAAATGAAGATTTTGAAATACGTAAGTGTTGATTATTGTTTGGCTGCATTCGAAATTTTGATTGTAAGGGTGAAGTTTTAGTTTGATTATCATAGAGCCTATATCAATTATAATTTAATACAAAATTCAAATTATTATTTTGGTACGTGCATACGTAGGTGTAATGCACAACACAATTCAGTGTGCATATCGAGTGTTGATTAATAAATCCCAATCTCAAACGACTGCTGAACCTTGTTTTGCATACCCTGATGTATCCTGGCATGTAGATTTAAATAGTTTGTATTTTCTTCCTTAATTTGGTTGCTAAACATTATTCTATTCTTTATTTTTGTATAGGCTAGGCATGCATGCATTTTATTATATACTTTCTCGAAAGCAATCATATCATAAACGGCTTTTAGAGCATTTGAAACCCAGAATCTTCAGTTCACCAATGAATCAAGTTAAGCAATTGCGAACGGCTGTTGATTGGAATTATTCGAAAGTATTTGATAATATAAAATATTAAGTATTGATTACAGTGTTTAAATTTTGATTGCAAAAAAATACCCAATTAAGCATGTAACCTTAATAAATGAAATAAAAGCATGCAAGGTTCAAATAATTCAAGATTTAAAAAATAATTAGAATTTTTAATAGTTTTATCAAAACAACTAATTCTATGTATACTAGTAAAATAATCAACTTTTAAAGCATATTGGTAGTTAAAATGTAGTAAAGGGTAGAGTTTATATTATTTATTATCAAACATAATTTAAAATATTATTTTAGCAGTTGTAATGTAGTAATGTGTATAAGAATAATGTAATAGATAGAAAATTAGTTATAGTTTATTGCATTTTAAAAGAATAAATCAAATAATAAAAAGTTACTTTTTTTGTAATAAAAAAGTATAAACTATTTTTTTTATATTACTTTTGTATTTGTTGATTTAGTAACAAAGATTGTAATAATAGTAATAGTTACAGGTATTCTTGTATTTTTCTTAGTGTTACTTTTTTGACTATTAAATATTATTTAATTTAAAGTATTTAAAGGTAAGTTGTAATATTTTAAAATTATATATAAAATTATAAGTATATATTTTTTGTAATTTTAATTATAAAAATTTTTACTAATTAAAACTCTCTTCTGCAAATCTCAAATTATAAAAAACAGTAGAAATAAAAAACAAAAAATAGACAAAACAATGAATATTATAGAAGAAAACCTAAATAAAAAAACTTACTTTAGACAAGAAAACTATTTATACAATATACAAAATGTAAATACAACTGTTTTAAAAATACAAAGCAAAAATAAAAAAAAATTTAATACTATTAATTAAGAAAACCGATCAAAGTTAACTAGATCAATAGTATTTCTTATTTATAAGATAACAATACCAGAAACAATAAATAATAATTACAAATGTTCTATAAAATAGCAATAATATCATACTAATCTAGATATTATCTACAAAGAAGTTTATAGTAAAAAAAGATGTATTGTTTTTCTTAATTTTAACTAGCAACAAAAAGTGATCAATATGAAAATTCTTGACAAAACAAATAATATCATCATTATATATAAACTAATATAATAATAATATAATATAAATTAGAAATAATAATACTATCTTAATTTATAGGTTTTTCAGACAAATTTGTTTAAAAAATTATTAAAAATATGTTTATACCTGTGGGTCGGTAGCGAAGTGGTTACGCTCCCAGGTCACCAATCGTAAGGTTGCCAGTTCAAGTCCAATGGGGGACGAAAACTGAGTTAGGACCACGATTGTTAATTAACCACATCAGATGACATCTTACGAAATTAGGAAGATCTTCGGTACCCAGATCCTTAAATGGCGACGGACCTGACATAAGAAG